GGGCAGGGCAGCGCGGCGTCATTCAAGCGTGACGGCTCGCGTCGACCCCCGGGAGGCGCGCGTGCTGTGCGCGTCCCAGTGCTCAAGGGCTGCTGTCGCGGCGGTCTACAGGGCAGCGGCCTGTGTCTGTGTCGCCTCCAAAAATGCTGAAGCATTCTCCAAGCATCCATTTTGCAACCTTGGACCACACCCACCGCGATGTCAATGCGCAGGCCTTCAAGACCCTGCCGATTGACCCTGTGCGCAGCAGCAGCTACAGCTCCCGCCTGTCCATCTTCTACGCCAAGCACTTTGGGCCCCTGCCTGTCGACCGCCCGCCCCAGCAGCAGCAGCAGCAGCAGCTGCAGCAGCAACAGCAGCAGCAACAGCCGCAGCAGCAAACCCCTCAGCAGAGCGCGACGCCGCCGCCGCCGCTGCCGTCGCAGCAACAGCAGCAGCCGGCATCAAACCAGCTGCATGCCAATGGGGCGCCGGCGGCAGTGCAGCAGCACCACGAGGAAGCGGCGGCAGCACAGCAGCAGCAGCAGCAGCAGCAGCAGCAGCAGCAGCAGCAGCAGCAGCAGCCTAACACGGAGCCGCAGCACGAGGACGTGCAGGTGCTGCAGGAGGACAAAGTGCAGCGGCTGCAGCAACAGGAGGGGCAGAGCCACGGGGAGGAGCAGCAGCCACCGCAGCAGCTGTTGCAGAAGCAGCAGCAGCAGCAGCAGCAGCATGAGGAGGAGCAGCAGCATCACCAGCAGGAGCAGCGAGAGCAGCAGCTTCATCAAGTGCACGAGGAGGAGCAGCAACAGCAGCAGCAACAGCAGCAACAGCCGCAGCAGCAGGAGGGAGGGGAGCCTGAATTGGAGCCAGAATTTGTTGAGGTGTCATCCCCAACTTTTGTGCAGCCAGCGCTTGAAACCACCGCCGATAGCGGCGAGGGGCAGGGACCAGCCGCGGCAGTGGTGGCGGCTTTGGCTGAGGTGTCGGAATTGGCTAGCCTTGACGATTTAGAGGTGATGCCTGAGGGCTCGGCACTAGGTGGTGAGACGCCGCTGCCGGAACAGCAGAAGCAGCAGGAGCAGGCGCAGCAGCAGCAGCCGGATCACACGCAAGAGGCGTCCAGCAAACCCGAGGGCAGCACCCCGAGCGCAGCGGCCACCACTGCTGCGCATGCCAGCGTCCCAAACGGCGTCACGACCGGAAGCCGGGACGGCGGAAGCGCTCGGGTTGGCGCAGCGGAGGCCGCCGGTGCACACCCGGACGCGGCGACGGCAGGGCCCGCCGCGGAGGAGACGGCCAGCTGCGGCAGACGGGCGGAGCCCGGCGGCGGCTTGGTGGGCCGTCCGCCGAGCAGCGGGGAGGGGCTGGAGCAGCACGCGCCAGCCAGCTCAGACGTTTTAAAGCCGCCTGACAAGGAGGTGCAGGGCGGCTCTGAACTCAGCGCGGCCTGGACGAGACTCAACTCAGCAGGCAGGCGCGCCAGCAGCAGCAGCAGCGTGGGCGGCCGCAGGAGCTTGGAGGCACCGGTGGTGGGGCACGCAGCGGCCCGAGCGGGCGGGGACGGGAACGCGCGCTCGAGCTTTGGAGGCGGCATCGACCTTTCTGCCATGTTCGGGGACGACGGCCCCGCGAGCAGCGGCGCCGCGGCGCCCTCCCCGGCCGCGGCCGCCCCGCCGCAGCCTGCAACCTCGACGGCGGCGGCGGCGGCGGGGCATTCCCTGCCGCAGGCGCAGTCTTGGGACCCCCTGCAGGCGTCCAGCACGCCCCTCGCGCCCGCCGCCTTCGACCGGCGCGTGTCGGGGCCGTCTGCCCCCGCCAGCCTGGACCCCGCCCCGGCCTCGCGCGCCGGCAGCAGTGCCGATTTGATGGGCGGCGGCGGATCTCCAGGCGCCAACACAGCCGGGCCGCTGGCGCCTGGAGAGGCTCGGGACGCAGGGCTGATCAGCTTTGATGGCTGGGCCGGCGGCGGTGCGGATGGCGGGTCTGCAGCTGGCGGGGGTGACGCCGTGTCACCGGTTGATGAGCGGCGGCGAGAGGATCCCACAGACCTGCTTCTTTAGCCGTCGCCGCTGTTGCAAATGTCTGACGCCACGTCTTCACGTGTCATCCGCAGCTGTAATTACGTTGTTACCCACAGGCGGCATACGCACACCTTCAGCAGGCCGACAGCACACGGTTTTCCCATCAAAGGAACCTCTCTGCCCAAAGCGCAGCCAACCGGGCGTTGCGGCAGCTGCTCCTTCGCGCGCGGCGTTGACTCGGTCAAACTTGGGCGGAACGCGGCGCGCAAACCGTCCGTTCTCGACAGAATGATTTGATCTCTGTGACAAGAGGGTGTTGAAGCTTTGGGACGGTGGACACGGCTGTCAAGAAGTCAAAGCCAATCGCACGCAAGTTGCGCGCAGCACAGTACTGCACTCGCTCACACTGCGGCGGATACATTGCGCGGCTCATCGCCGCAAGGCGCGCGCATGTCCGATGCGCCGGCTCACCCGTGGGACGCAGGTAGATCGGCGGGGGTCTGCTGGAGCGAATCAGGGCTTCATTAAGAAAAAGCGCCTGGAACAAGGGGAGAGACCGTCCGGCAGCAGGGGCGGCCGCCAGGATCGGCGCAACGCCGTCACCGGTGGTCGTGAGAGCGATCAGCATGGGGGTATTTCAGGGGCGATGCCCCCCTATTGGCCGGCCCGCATCTCCAGGAAAGGCAGTGGCATGACTGGCCCAAACATGACATCGTCGTCGCAACTCGTTTGCAAGAATGCCCTAAGCCTCACCTGGGGATGTGCCAGGCCGTTGAACTGGAATCAGCACGCTGCCGCCCCCCACCGCTGCGCGTGGCACTGGCCGCTTCAGAAGTCGTCACTGCCGCGCGCCTCAGGGCCCCAGCGGTGCGCGAGTCCCTGGGAGCGCGCGACAGCGACGGATAGGGCCCGTCTTAGAGCAGGAAGAATCTCCGATGGCAACGCCAGTAGCAACGCACAAAGGGTGGCAACCTGCCCGCGCCGAGCGCCGCTCAGAGGCAAAGGGCCGGGCTGAGCGATACATAGTGGGGCCGTTGCTGCCCCCTCCCACCCACCTGGTGATTCCCAGTGTAGACAGTCAGGCTCGCCTCATCGAAAAACAGCGCCGTCACG